ATGAAAAATATTTCACGTATAACAGAATGACATTTCAAAATTTTTATGAATCTTTCATAAAAAAAAAAAAAGTACACACTAGGTTACATCACCCTTCCCAAGGCATTACATGCAAAAATGAAACTTTTAACATCCTCCCTTCAAAACAGAAGACATTGTTGTTTTTAAATATCCTCATTCTCTCAGCAACCATCGGGGCCTGTGCATGTGAAAAGTTACTATTCTCTCTTAGAAGAAAGCAAAAATTTAAACCCAAATACCTGGCCTATCACAAAGCAGAATCTTTCTCTCTTTGCTATCCCAACATCACGAAAAGAAAAAGGCAAAAACATTCGTCGTCCAAGAAGGACGACCTGGGAGTAGGCCGCCCAGCTCTCCTTTCTTTCCGGGGCACCATTCTTCGTGGACTATCATCCTTACAGGGCCAAAGTTTAAAACTACTCCCCGGCCATAGAGACCATTCGGGGCATGCCACCCTGCCATAATCAATGAGTGTTTAAAAATGCTCCCCATTTGTTTTTTCAATAGGTTCCAAACAAAAAACGTTCTATCTCGTTTGTGCTGCATGGCTGCCTCCAAGCCCCACGCCGGATTTGCAGCTAAGCTAGGTAATGGAAGGGTTTTTAATCTTTATCTTTTTTTTTTTTTTTAAAAGTTAGGCCGAGAGTTATTCATTCGAGTAAACAAAAGCTGGTCTATTTTTGAAAATTAACAATGCTTCGACTGGACTGCAAGTCGCGATTGCATATTTGCTGCAGTGCCCAGCTCCAGCCCAGGCGACTTGAAAGTCGACCACGCCACCATGTTGCGTTATGATAATCAACATCTTTTTTGAAACAAAGATTTTTTTTTCCCCCCCTCAATGCAGAATTTGATACAAGAGGTAATCTGTTCCTTTGTGGGCTGAAAAAAAAAAAAATCTGGTTTACGCTGGTTTGAACCAGTGGAATCTCTTGTGGCTAAGCCTTCTGCTGTGACTAAAATCAAAACTGCGCTGCAGAGCGCGAGGCCCGAGCGCGCGCGCCGCCTCCGAGTGGGGTGCGCATCACGTGACCCCCCAACTCCCGAGGTTTTTTTTTTTTTAAAGCTGATAACGCGCCTGCCGTCTCTGTCCGCATACAGATAACGAATAAATGCTGAACTCTATTAAACGCCCTTTACACATTATCGTGGGTCGAACACACAATTTTCTGAACTTATGATGACAGTCCATTTATTTTGCTATAAACCCTCAGCACGTAACGAACAGATTTGTGCCTGGTAATGATCTGCTCTGCCAGGGCTATATGAAATGATACCGACCTTCTTTAGATCTTGGGGAATTAAATTGACCGACTTCACCCCCTGGCCTGTGGCTGAAGTTTGACACACTTTATGCACAGCAAGCCCCAATCGGAACTTGAGAGAACCTCGTCTTAAAAAATTAAGCAATCATACCTGCTAAATATTGCTTCACCACAAACATTTCCGCACGTTTAGAAATATACTCTTTACACATTTTTTTTTTTTTGAATCTTCTAGTTGGGATTTAAGTCAAATTTCATCGACTTAAATTTATTCACGGATCAATCCCATTTTGCATGTGGAAACTGAGAGACAATTAAGGTTCAAAGTAAGGCAGGGCCGTTTTTATTTGCCCCATTACCAAAGTCCAGTAGGAAGGGGATTTAATTCTTAAATTTTTTTTTCTTTTTTCGAGAATGGTTTTCATGAAATTAAATCAAGTTAACAATCATTAAAGTTTCCATGCTAAACACAGCAGCCCCATATTTTGAGAACTCAACTCTCCCTCTCTCTTGAAAAGTTAAAATAATAATATTGTCATATGAAAAGAAAATATGATATTTAAAAAAGAGAATAGAATGATAACACCTCAGACAATAATAGTCCTTGGAAAGCTGATGATTTAACAATACACGAATGTGCAAAGTAAGTGATTTGGTCCCTTCTCTGTCAATCAGGGAGAAGCTGTATTTGCTTCTAACATCAATTAGAAATTAATTTATACAAAGCAATTAATTTGGAATTAAATGAAACTATGTACACTATATAGACCATTACAGGTGTATTTTAAAAAAAACAAAAAACCTATGTTTCTGAAATTTTCATATTCCTAACCATGGGATAAATGTTTATATACATATATTAACCTAATAAACTTTAGTTCATTTGGAAGGTTATAATGACATATATTAACAACCAGCTCTTAGATATATTTTATAATGCATTATAAATAAGCAAAATGAGAAATAATAACAATGGCAGTCACATTTATCTAAATCTGCACAAAGAACCCACTATAAGGGAGATGTGTCTACTTCATTGAAAATCACTAAATAAAATCACTGCCTATTTTACTTATTTGCAACTATTGCTATTAATTCTGTATTATCTTCCTTTTCCGATAATTTTTAATTGCAATATTTATACCAATTTTAATGAAAGAAATATTGCTATTTTTATATCATTTTGCCCATCTCCAAGGCTTCCCTATATATTAAAAGTTTATCATGAATATTAGAGTCAAGAAGTTCTGAAAATCAAGAAGTTCTAAAAATCACCAGCAATTAACTTATTTGTGAGCAGAAAATATTTCCTTATATGTGTTACAGGTAATCCTGCCCAGAAAACCTGTCATCTCAATCACAAGTTTACAAAAATTAATATGAGAGTCTATGTAAAATGTTTTCTTCCTCTAAAGTATGGGCTTCTGTTTTGATTTCATAGGCTGAATGAAGACTGATGCAGAATAAGGAGTTATTCTCAAGTGACCATTCTTGGTTAAGTATGTGTTTTCGTTTTGAGGGTTTTTAATTCCTATATTATGATAAAAAGCCTCGAAACAAAATTTAATGACTTCATTATGATATGGAAATTTTGCTACATTGGGTAACAAAATAACCAAAAAGTTAAGTGTGGTCTCTTTGAACTTTCAAACTTAATTCAAATTTTAGATTGAGAAGTTCATATAATAATATATGAACAGTGGCATAGTCTCACGACTATAATTTATCACACTCTATTTATTGAAGTGACAGCTCCTTACAACTAAACTTCAGGTTCCCCAGCACTTTCAGAATTTCTAAGTTTGATTTATACAAGTCCAGGGGAAATCTCTCCGTAATCACTTTAAAGTGACAGGAATATAATTTGAACAATTCAGAAAATATGAACTCCATCTATTTTTTGTGGAATATTTTACTTTAGGCATAAAAATCATACTTATATGTATGTGAGGCAAATGTTTTAGGCACATAAAATGTCCATTAGGAGAAATGAACATGCTTTTTAAAAAAAAGATCCCTGTCACAGTACTATAATCCATTACGATAGAGGAGACAGAGTCAGACAGGAACAGCCCCTTCCTTTCTATTTCCTCTGTATTAGGCAATGGTTTCAAATGAGGGAAAGATCTATAGTTGTTTAACAGATTGACATGGGAATTCTGCATTCACTTGTTTGCAAAAAAGAATTTTTTTGCAGTAAAGATAGGAAATAAAATTATGATTCACTTATTCAAGAGATATCAGCATCTAAATCTCACTTAAAATAGGAAGAAAATAGTTTTTCTCATCCTCACATTATTTAATCTATTATGAGTAAAACCCCTTTATCACATCACTCTTTAATGTTTGATGTGTTCCCTTTTTTTCCCCCCTCATAGCTTTTCTCACATTTCAATCAGAGAAGCTGAAATCCCAAGTCAAATCTTAACGTGTTTACATGTCTGAACTCCAACTGATAACATCCAAATAGCGGAGGAGGTGAGATCTTTCCCCAAACAAACATAATCAGCTCACTGATTCTTCTCCTTTTTCTGGGGGGTGGCTGGACGGGGTCATCATCACATACACAGCATACCTGTTTACAATATTAGCATGATAGCAGATAGCAATATAGTTTGCGCATACTTATACTGCAGTGGCAAACACAATTATGAAATTTTTATGTGTATCAAAATCTTATGCCTTATTACCTTATTAACAATTTACTGAATGAATGATTATGTGCATTTTTATTTAGGCAGGGTAGAGACCTCTGCAATACTTGCCAAAGTAACATTCATAAAACAGTTTAGGTCTTGCTTCTGAAATCCCCTATCATTTATTTTCCTTGAAACTGTCCAAGAGAATCAGTTGCTAGGATTGTTAGAGACATTTTTAAAGTGATCTTTACACTGAGATTCTTGAAATATTTTTTAAAAGTCATATATTATCCACATGGATTGAGGAAGTCTGCAGTGTTAATTCAAAGAAGCGGGACATTAATTGGACTGATGACATCACTGTGTGATCCAATAAGAACCCACATCCAAGTTATAAGAAGAAATTAGGTCTTTTTTAAGAAGAAATTGGGTCTTTTTTAAGAAGAAATTGGGTCTTAATTTTTGCTTATGTGGATCTTAAACTGCAGAAAGACATTTCCTATTGTTGTTGTTGCCGTTATTACTATCATTACTATTATTTGACAAAGCAGGCCCTCTATATGAGTATCCAAGTTCCACACTGGTGCTTACATTTGCATTTCGGTGAATGTATTTTTAAGAAGCTACACAATAGGAGACTGAGCTGCCTGCCCTGTTGAATTTTGAAAGCTTACTTTCATTTGTTTTGCTGCAAGTGTTGATTTAATTATGCTGCATTATTATCAAAGCTGTATTATGTACTTTTTCATTCCTTTTACATGTGTTTGAGGTGAAGACCTTGGCTTTGTCTGCAAACAGTGTGTTTCAAGTTATTCCTTAAGTACTAAATAATAAAGAAAAGAGAAGAAAAGATTTTTTTTTAAAGATAGCAGACAGTGATCACAAGGTAAAGGGTTAAATGTAAGATCTCCAAGAAACATTTTGAAGTTGATTAAGACTCCAGCTTTGCATTAAACAGTATCGCTTCCACATGAGTTGCTGCTAATACTGTTAAGGAGCAGCTTGAGAGCCCAGTGTGCGAGTGACCCCCTTCACCCTCCAGCCACCCACCGGGCCCTGCTGATTAGCATTCTACCTGGTTCTCTGAGGAATTCCCATCCTCCCCCAGGAGCTCATTCCGTACTTCGTCACTGTAGGCGATCCGTGACCTTTTCTATAAAACAAAACAAAAAGGGAGAGAGCAAGATGAACATTAGAAAGTAAAGGCTTCGAAGCGTCATCGGTCTCCAGGCTGATCATCTCAAACCTCGAGAGCCCCCTAATGGAAACCTATTTGCTAAAATCTGCAAACCAAAGTTGTGTCAAGTTCTTGAACTTGAGAAGTTTTTCAAATGCCAATAATGAAAGAAAACTCTGTATTCTGTAAGTATTCTGTTAATATTCACAAATGGGTCGTGACTGGTATATTATGCCATACAAAGTCATTCAAAGAAGGGCACTGAACTGAAGGAAATGCAGTTGTGTAGCTCTGTATCTGCAAACCCCACCAGATTGCAATTAAAAGGAGAGTATACAGGGATCTTTAATATTGTGGTAGGAAATGACCATACAATGCAGGTCTTTTAAAATCTCTAATTTTAGGATATTTTATCTCCCAACTATACACTAGAATGTCTGGAAAATAGATCTATATTTCCTTCATTATTTCTGGTTAGTTTTCCTAACCAGAAAGATGGAATTTAAAATCCCATTTCATTTCCAAACAATAATTTAAAAGCTTCCCAGTCCTCTATAAATAATGGCCTTAAGAAAATGTGTGTGTGCATGTGTGCATGCCTATGTGCACACATGTGAGTGTGTGTGTGTGTGTCTGTGCGTGTGTCTGGTAAATTAAATTTCCCAATCCCAGTAAATAAAGGCAAGAAGGCTATGAGTCAACTTTTCACAATCCCAGCAAATAAAGGCAAGTGGGCTATGAGTCAACATCATACACTGAGATTTTGTTTTACAAGAAATCTGCCTTCACCTGTAAAGTCAGAGGGACCTGTCTGCAAGCAATTCATTAATTATGGATACATGTTTGGAAAAACTAAAAAGCTTTGAAAATTAGTTGCAAAGCTAAAGTGTCATCCTTAGATCCTACTTTCAGACCCAAATGCAGATTTACAGGTCACTTTGCTTTCTTTTCTGCTTCTGAATTTACAAAGTAAAAACAGTCAATTAAAAAAAAAAAAATCGCGTGGGACACTATTCTTTTTTTCAGCTGAGGCCTACAGTTTAGGACTTAAAATTTCTTACCTGCTCAACTGTGATCTGAAAAAAATGTTACTTTTAAAGGATGATCCATGAACAGAAGTCAACAAGATTTTATTTAGATTTTTCCACTAGTGAATAACACTCCTTTGCCACCTCAGAGACCATGATATCTTCAAAGTCATATTATATTAGAATTTAAAAGGACTATGGACAAAAAACTTGAATTGATTTTAAACTACTTCAAAGTTTAGCCTTTCTCAATTGGGGTTCCGGAGCTAAACTACAAAACACAGAAAATATTTCAGTGGCTATTCTCTCAATTTTTCCAAAGATCATACATAAGAGAGAAATTAGTTCATTACATAGAACAGAAGACTTCTGGGCCTAACTCTCTGGCAGACTGCAGTTGAATAAGGCCAAATGGATGTATAAATAAAAATAAGTAAGTCTACACATCCCTTTATTTTTCAGAAAAGAAAAAAATCAGACTAATGGTATTCAAAAAGTAGCTTTGGTTAAACCAGAGGAGAACCTTTGTATCCTAACTCACAGCTTAGTCCTCCTACATAAAATGTCTACCACATTTTATTACTATCTGGATACACTGAGGAAAAAGATAGAAAAATTGGAAAATGTTTCCACATAAAGGAGATAGTGGTATCCCCTCGCTGCTCTGAATTTCTACCCCAAGTCACCCTTGCCTGCTACAAATGTTTATATTAGACTTGGGCAAACCAGTAAGTCTGTAAGTAGATAAATAAACCAACAATGCTGTAGACAGGACAAAGTCGAAAAGTTAAGTTGTTAGCCCGAGGTCAGTAATGACATCTATATCAGATGTCTTAACAATTCAGGAGTGTCCCAACTCATTTATTTGTGAGCACACCAGATTTCTAACCACCACAGTGGATGTTAAGTTTGCTTCTCTTCCTGCAGTTATTGAAGCTACTATTAATTAGCTATTTCATTGGCTTTGTATAGAATTATAATTTAAAAAATGCTAAATTACAAGAACATACACTTCACGGCCTTGGCACAATATTTAGAGCAAGCTAAATCTTTCTTTTGCCCATTTGGAGTTCCCCACCACAGCAGTTTCAAACTAGCTAAGCAAAAGTGTTTAACAGTATTAAAGGAAATGAGAACCTTTATACAGGCTATGGTATCAGAGCTGCCTTTTTAATTATTCATTTCATCACTATGGGGGACTAAAACATTCCACAGTATGCAAGGATATCATATGGAGATTGTTTTTGTTTTCCCCTTTTTTCACCAAAATACCAACAAATTGGCATAGATTATTCAATTATATTTTATTCTTATTTTGATTTACTATACTTCAAAAGAAGAAAATTACAAACATGTATTCTTAAATATCTAATCTTGTGTTGGTTAGAATCCATTGCTTTTGAAAACCAGCAATTAACAGGGTACAAGCTCAGCAATAGAGAAGAACTAAGGATTTATCCTCCGTTGAAGGGTGGTCCCTATAAATGTCATTCTTTACCAATGGGACAGTTAAAAACCAGTCATTTGGATGACTTTCTGGATGTAATTAAGGAAATAATATGCTGAGTTTACAAAATGTTCACTAGTAGAATTGACTTCTCTTAAAGAATGAAAAGAATTCATTTCAAATATTAGAAATAGTTCCTCATAAAATGATATAGTTAATGCTGAAAACAGAACTCTTAACACTCAAGTATCATTATAAATTTTTAAAAAATCAGACTTTGTTTTATTGAGTTATATTTAAATACTGGACATTGCTATTTTCTATTACTGTTTGAAATTTTAAGCAAGCTGATCCTAATCAACAATAATTTAGCAGAATCATTACTAAATTGAATCTTAGAAAAGGCAAATTCCCTTGAATGATAAACTGCTTATATTATGGATAATTTTCCTCCAAGACATCAATAAATTATTTTACCTTCTACGGAAATTTTAAAAATCCGACTCTACCTCACTAAGTTCTATGGCTTACTTTAATTTAGAAGATTCAAGGTTAATGAAACTGAAACATCTACTAAGTCTTGATAAACAAACTAAAATATTTTTACTTTATTATCGCCTGTATAAAATCTGTAGTTTAGCCAAATGCAAGCATGAGAATATGAGCTGGAAATGTCACACACTCAGCTACAGTTTGAAGGAACCCAATTCATAATGCATGTTATAAATAGTTAATGACTTCTATACATAAGCTAACCAGGCAAATCAAGAAATTGTCAACATTTTTAGTTTTAGTTGTCAGTTACCACTGTCTACTAGTGCTTTGTATGTGGCTTTCTGGAGGAGACAGAAGCTCTATGCAGTTTGTAATCTACTGCAATTTCGGGTCTGTACCACAGGGTGGAAAAGCTTCAGCTGACAATAACTGCCCCTCCCCCCCCACGATGTTAAATACAAGAGTACTCCTCACATTTGTTTGTGTGTTTGTGTAAAGCCTGTTCCTGCTAGCTTCAACACTCAGGTAGACCAGGCACAGTTGGATGGAAAAATCCACAGACCATGTATGAATGACAGCAAAAGTATGACAACTTTAACAACTGATAGTTATTCCTAAGAAGTTAGATGCACAAAGTTTCAATGGCTATTTTAAACCAATGACAAAAATGAGTCTTTGGTTATGAATGGAAGACTTTCAGATTCCAGGCAATTTTCACTTGGTATATGAACAGAACTTTTGCATACTGATTGACTGCTTTTCTTAAAGTCAAGTTCAAACACATATACTTGCTCAGTTCTGTCTGGAAATTTGACTTGAAACAAATTTATCTACTTGACCCAAGCCTTAACATTTCCCAACTGAACTGAATATGTTCCTGGACAGGCACCGCTAAACCAGAAACAAAACGAATTAGCCTAGCTTAAACTAATTAAGAACTGTGTTCTGTGGTACAGCCTCCTGTATGATTCTACATGTGACAGAGGGTCTACGTAACTAGAATGAGGATTCTACAACCCAACGCTATCATAAGCATAACAAGAAGTTGGTTTAATACAAATCCGTATATGAGAATTTAATTTCCATGGCTTGCACATGGCAAAGCAATTGCTTAAATTGCCTCACCTGGGAATTTAATACAATGTTATCATCAAACCAGCCACATTGTAAATAGATTTATAATGCTTTCCATGTGCTGCACTCTGTTGCATATGAATTAAGTAATGATCTGGTATTACAATAAAATCAGCTAGTTCCCACACCTGGCAGACAGGATATTTCACTAAATTAATACCCATACAGCTACATCACAAGGCATGGGAGAGGAAACCATCTCTAAGGCATTCGACTTGAGTTTTACACGGGAGGCAAACACTCCATGGCTGTGTAGAATATCACGGTGTTGAATGGGGTGCTCAGGACAATCTGTTTCTAACATCTGTATCACAGAATGAAGACTTTCTCATTCCCATTCAATTTTGGCCTAATTTTCTTCATTCAGTGCTTTAATTACTAACCAGCAACCCACAACATTCACAAACACCAAGAAAGCCCTTTCTTCTAATCTATGTGCTGCAGACAGTCAAATAATTGATACAAAATGCAGTATGGTTTTGGTAAGTAATGAAAGAAAGGCTTGTCCTACTTCCTAATCAAATAGGCCTATAGAAGAAATGGTTAATAGATTTCTCCATAGGTCTAAAGCAAATTACCCAGTCTGGCCAGACTTTTCCATTGCTTCTACCATGCCTTTCAGTCTCCACATATTTAATAATGCCCAAGGTTACCAGGTGATACATCTATTAAAAACTGTTATGCTTTCATAGCCAAAGAATTTAACTGCCCTAAAGAATTTAACTGCTCCTGTTATAATTAACACTTTGGGATAGCTACAGAATACCATGAAATTATATTTATTAGCTAGTCACATAATTGTTGGCATTCATTTCTTACCTAATTTTATCTGGTTCTAATTAAATAATATCATACTTCTGTAATGCCCAGAT